AGTATTACAGTTTTTATGATTGAAATGTACACACAAACAAAATGAGAAATTGGCTGTTGAAACACCAAATAGCGAATTTTCAACGAATGTCTTTGATAATTTTTATCTATCTATCATGTTATGAATATTTAGCTCGTCGAAAAGGCCCACCCCACAACAGCGTAAGTGTATAACATATTTGTGATGTCTATTTCACATATTTTATACTAACATATCTCAACCTAAATCATATTATATACCAAAATATTTCAACCCAAAAATCTTACTCTATACCAATATATCTCAATCTTAAACGTACTGTAGAGCGTTAAAATATTCAATGTTTTCCAAGAATCGGTAATATATGCAATATTTTTTGTAATAATCAAAATCAATAACTACCAAAAAATAAAAAAACACATTAATGGCGAGAATACAATTTTTAACTGACCGGCGAAGCTAACGACACGGACTAGCGGTTGAGGAATCAAGTTTTAGACTATATTAATCTTACAATCAAGAAAAATATTGAGCAAAAGAGTTTTCCCCCTCTATGGTATTTACATTGTATAATTTAAAGCATCTATCGAAAGCTAGCTTTAAACTATATTCCCGTCGATTACTAATTAAACAGGCATTTTTGCTGACTTAATTGGCAATCAACAGTGTGAGAAAAAGATCCTAATAGAAAAACCTATAAATTTATAAAAACAAAGAAGTGTTTGCCATAAAAAGAGAGAATAAAGAAAAATAACAAAAATTTGTGAGAGAAGCGAAAATCTATTTCTCCAGCTTATACGTCTGAGTTTGAGAACCATAAATGAACAATAGGAAAATCTTAAACCAAAAGAATTGTTAATGAATATAACCTCATACCGTATGAATATCGTATCATGCTCTTTTTCGAAATGAGAGAACCAGAGGACATGTTTTGCATAAACGTCATTAAAAACTTTTCTCTCCTCAGCGTAAACCTTACCATGAGCGCGTGACATATTTAATTGTGATAATTTGTTGTAGTTAAGGAGAAAAAGAGTTATATTTTACTTTCGTGAAATCACGCGACAAAGATAGGATACGGCACAGTGTCATGTATATATACACATATAGTACGGATTTTGATATCAGTTTGTTATTTGTATTTTGACCAGTGAGCCTGTAGGCTGTTAAAAGTAAACGGATAACTTGTAAGTAAAATCGGTGATTGCAAGTATTATTTGGTTTAACCATTGGTGGAAATAATAACTTATCCAAACATTACTTAAAAATTAATGTGAATGTGAAATAAATATTATGAAATTATTTAATAAATAAGTGTAAAATAAAAAAACATTATGTAAAATAATTTTCGATCCTTATGCTCCTCCAGGAGTTAAAAAAAATATTAATGATGATCAAATGTGAATTTTAAAAAAATATGATAAATAAAATTTCTTTAAAAATTACTTTTCATAAAAAATCAATTAAATAAAAGATAAAATCAGTTTTAAAAAAAAAATTAATTAAATTTATATTAATAATATCGGTTCATTTTTTTATATTAAATTCAGTTTATTGTAAGACTATTTAATATGGCAACAAAAGCGCACAATAGATCTTTTAGGTCGGGGAGCTTTAATAGCTTATTACTTAAATGGCAACAAAAACCTATGAGTATCTATTATTATTGTTATTACATATAAAATTTCATTTTTTTTTTGGTGAGGAGATGGATTTATGCATCGTCAGACCAACCGTCATCAGACTGTGTGCCCGATTCTGTGTTTGATGGTTAAATTTCTTTTAGTTTATTTAATAGATATTTTATTGAAATTGAAACAAGTTATAAAATAAATAATTCATCGAATAAGAAATGTTAAGAAATGTTTATTCGTATCAAATTCGTTACAATATTTCTTCTTATTTTAAGATATCTTGAAGAAATTCTCAAGTAGAAGATTTCGTAACGTTGTTGTAATCAACGAAATCTTAAAGAGGTTCTTACAAAATTACTAATTAAATTCATTTTAAATTCTTAAAAAATTTTATTTTTTTATCTAAAGAGCTCAAATCTTTTTCTCGAAGTGTCGAAATTCTAAATTAGTCTGCAAAACACGAAAATTAACAAAAATATGATGCTAAGAATTAAAAATATAGTCTTATTTTGCCCATTTGTCATATAAATTTGAATAATTCTAGTGTTTTACTGGAGATAATTGAATCATGCAGATTTACAAAATAAGCATAAAAGTTATTCACAGTTTTTAAAAGACTTCTTCTTGCACAAAAGAACTTTCTCTTACATATTACTTTCTCTCTGGGAGCGTAAATGAGAATATTATTGCACATTTTTTTTGTGATTCCATCAGAACCATTTCGTTATTTAGAATATAGTTATTTCTGATTTTATAATAATCTAATTATTAATTCTATTCAGATAGATTGTTGTCACCAAGTAGAATCAACTCTTTAGTTAATTAAATACATCTATTTAATCGGGTTTACAGTACACTAATTTATTGACACCTGCTCAATGTGGTTAGAACAAGTATTTAATAAATCTTACTGAAAAAATAACACCTTAGGCATAAAAACTATTTTTTTTTACAGAAAAAAATTGTGTAGTCCAAAAGCTACAATACCAATTTTAATAAATAATTGTTTTATTACCTAGTCTTGTTTGAGTTATTAATTGTATAGGTATTTTTAGTTGAATCGATAGTTAAATGCTACTATTTTAATGGTTTTTTGTATTAAGATATAAATTATAAAAAGTCAAGAAAATTATAAGAAAGTGATAAGAATGTATTTGCTTTTCAGATACATTCTAAGTTTTAAGTTAATACAGTTTAATGCATTTATAATGTAATAAAATTTTAAGTATGATTCCAAATAAACAATGTCTTTAATCAAACATAATTTTAACATTAAAACTTTGCGCTTTAACTACTAAAAAACACAGTTATTTAACTTTATCAGGAAATAGATTTAATTCATTTAATTGACTGCTATTAAAATTAGCTAAATAGTTTTTACGACATTAAATTATGATTAAATATATATATATTCTTTAAGTTAACGCCGCTAAGCGTTCTTTTATGAAGCAATAAAAGACGGGTATTTATAGTTTCTTAATGCGACATCTTCAGTTTTATTAATAATACTAATTACAAATTTGTTTAAATGGTTAGAAAATTTTTGTTATTGTTTACTTTATATTTACAAAATAGATAAAGATTTTTTAAGTATTTTATACAAATACTTAAAAATAATACTATATTTTAATTAAAAATATCTGTTAGATACCAGTTATATATAATTTATATACATGTGTGAAGATTAGTGATTAAGAGATCATATTTTCATACCGAAATTCGTATATTTAAATGAGTAACAGATCAGATCATTTAATACTTGGTATATCGGTATTTACTATTCTTTTTCTTAGAATTAAAAATGTTTAAGTTGTCTATTGGAATATGCTATTTTACTAAAGAAATAAATCTGCAATATGTTTATACTAAAAACCATACCATTTTTCGAAATTGAACATCAATCAATTCAGATTTAAAACAAATTATAATATCATAAAAAACTATCCACCCATCTAAAACGGATTGAAAAACCATTTGAAGTATCCAACAATATTTAAAAATTTATTCAAATGAAGACTTTAAAGTTATTGAGAAAGTATGATTCCAAAAGAAACAAATCAATGATATATCTGCGTGTGTATTAAATAGAAAGACTGTACACACGTAGACCTTGGAGTAATCACAAGGATATGAGGCACACCCTTGAAAAAATAATCTGCAGGTATAACACTCCAGCAGCAATGCCCAAAATTATACTTTTTAGTATAATTCACCTCTTGGACAATCCTGGCTCGTCACTGCACGCAGACCAAATCTAAACAATTGCAATTTATTAAAGAGAAATCAGTGAAACATCATTGAACTCAGAATAAAACTTACTTTCCATCTAAATTTTATGATAAATTTTGACTGTTTGTATTTAAAAGAGCCCATCTATACTGGTCTTTGTAGATGCTAAATTTCTTCTCATTCCAATCAAATGTTTTAACCAAGATTATTTCAGGCAGAACTAGAAGAAGTGGGTTGTAATATACCGCAGTTTTTTATAAACTTCGATTTACAAAGGATTTGCAAAAGGTGTACGCATAAAAATAAATATTTCAAGGGAATAAGGAATCAGGAATAATAAATAGAAGTTAGACATAAAGGTAAATGTTATGTGTCTAAAAAATCTGGAGCCGTGAGGCTTGAAACTTGAACCTACTAAAATCTCTTAGGAATACATAAAGAAGAAACTTTATTCCAGTAATTATGAGAGAGAGATGGGAGCAGATAGGTTTAATACCTAGTGGGCTAGGTTCATCTAAGCCAGAACTTCAGTTATTTATCAAATATTTATGAAATATAAAAAAAAAACAAAAAATTTATTATTTCTCTAAAGAAATATAAATAAAGATTTATGTATCTTATGAGTTCTGTTCAGTCAATAAAGTATATATTGTTAATCATTAACTATATATAGTTATTTATATAGGGATTTAATGTTTACAAACAGAAATTATAATCCAGTATCATATAATTATAAAAATTATTTCAAAATGTTTACTTCTTCCAAAGTCATTTAGTATTTGATATAATCATTTATTTTCTTTATAATTTTAAAATAAGTTTAAAAAACTTTTAAATTTTGTGAATTACTTAAATTTATTTTTCAAACATCTTAAAAACGCTTAATAAATTCTTTTATAATTTTGTTTAGTTCACATTAAAGCGAAATCACGAATATTAAATAACCAAATATTTACTTATCATTTATCACAATTAATTATTAAGATTGACAAATCACTACTAACGTCGTTATAAGTATAATTTTGACATACAAATTCGTTAAAATTGTCCAAATAAATAAAAATCTTTATCTTCAAAAAAAAAACTATGCTGCAGACGCGATTTACTGAGGGAAATAATTAACAAATAAAATTTCTTGAAAACGTCACATATTCGACGATGGATAATAAACTTTTACCGCCTGTGGTATGAATTCCCGAAATTATCTAAAGTGTATATTGTTTTAATATTTTATTGCAATATTTGCTGTACAATTCACATGCCTAAAATGGAAATTATTCCGTGCTCGTTATTAGATTCCATCGGCTCGATTGTGTCTCTCATTTAAGTTAATAAACCTGGTAACGCTAGTGATAAGCTTTTAGCGTGTTGTTAAATATTTTATGTGTTGTATGTTATAGTGTAGTCGTATTTATAAGTGAGTTCTTTAAAACGTCACCATTCAAATAAATGCTAAAATTTTCCTTAACAGTAACTATTTTACTTATCATTTAATAGAAGTAATATGTACTTTTTAGTAATTCGTATTAATTTTAATTTATTTTTGATCGATACGTTTAAAAACTTCAACATTACTCATAGATAAGTTTTGATTGGTTAAAGTATTTTTCCAAAGTACCTTGGAAAGTTTAACATCGGATTATATTGAAATATTAGTTAATTAGCTAACTGCGTAAGTGCTGCATATATTATTGATTGATTGTGCAACATTATTTAAACATTAACAGAGTAGACCCACATATAAGCACGGTAGATACGTTCCATGTTATGTGGAGGTAAATTGTTTGATTTATTAAGATTATAAAAATATATTAGGTATTCACAAACTAAAGTAATTATTACATTTAAAATAACTAAATTTAATAAATAGGCTTAAGACGCCACCTGACTACAGTTCTTTACAAGAAATATATAGTATCAGTGTTATACGATCCTGTTCTATCGTGCTATGCGAAGACGTTCGCAATTTTTTCGGGATGTTTATATGAACCCGTATTATTGTGTCTGTTATATATGTTTTTTTTTAATTGAGTTCTATATATAATATATTTAAAACAAATATTTTATAGGAACTCAGTTTCTTATTTATGTAGTTTATAATATATAGAATTAAAACTTGCTATACATATAGATTCATTAGCTCTATTGTGGGAAACATTTCCCTAAACAATTTTGAATATATTTACAAACCCATTTATAACAGCATAATACCAATAAAAAAATTATATTAAATGTATAATAAATACAATCTTCATGTGTAATATATTGTTCTTATTAATTTATTAAAATTCTAGTTCATTTAATTTTTTATTTTCCTTATGCTAAAAAATTCCTTAGGCTGCTTTTGTATCTACTTGTATCGCTATTAAAATACGTAAATTAATATATAAAATACAAAAAATTCTTTATTATAATAATTTTTTTATATTTTCAGAAACCCTTACACTTAAAATACGTAAAGAAATTTACTCTAGAGCGTTTAAAACGTATAAGAGAACGCAATCTACTATCAAACAACGAAGCTGGCACTTCGAATGTAGCAAAACATAAAAGTACTCTAAACCTATCCACCTCCAAAGCGACTGAAACTCTTCAAAGGGTCTACCTATTTGAAACTGAAGACAAGTACAAACATATAAAGCCAAAAACACTCACGACATCTTTAAGGAACAAACAATTTCAAGATCATTTAAAACATCATCAATACACTGATGTTGTTGGAGAACAAATCGAATTAAAAAATATGGCAAATGATAATAATGAGTAAGTTAACATTTATACATTTTTTGCTAATATTTCAAATAATTCATTTATTAAAAGTAAAATATGTAGATAGTTGGAACCAATCCACACTGATAAGCTGGTGAACTGTGATTTCAACAAAAATGGTATTTCTTCCCTTTCTAGAATTTAATATACTAGAACCAACAATTGTAGTTAGATATCTTATCTTATTGATCTCCTTCTCTACTTTTTTGTACTCAGAAAACGTCACAAAAATATCTGCTACGATTTACATCAGTATTTTATTATGAGTTTAACCCAGATCAGTAGCGAGGCGTCAGCTTTTTGGCAAGGTGTTCACAATGTGATCAAAACAGAATTCCAACTATAACGTATTCCCTCTACTTCTAAGTTTTGTCCTTTCCACAAGCAAATAGCATACAAGACCAACAAAACAATTTATTTAAATGTTCGCAGCCTGTGATCCACTGGTTTTTATGGTAAATAGCTATAGGAAAACGTCGACTTACCACAGATTTCGACATTTTTACATCAGGTACCAAATTCTTCATATCTGGAGTTGGTCTATTCATTTTATGAATTAAATTCTTTTTTTCAGAAGATCGTTTAAAAAATGATATTTAAATCAAATTTTTAATCACACATTTATCCATTTCTAAATATTATTTTTCATTTCAAATTTCTTTAATTTTTTTCTTTACTTTTATCATTTGCTAGTATAAAATTGCAATAATGACTTTGTTTTTGGTTTATTTCCAACCTCTACATAAGAGTAAGAAACTCTCATGCATTCATTTACTCTTTTACTTTGTAATTACTATGTGCGGTTTAGTTTTGTTACTGAACCATTTGACCATATAAAACGGTAACCGTGACTTTGATTGTATTTGCACGCTTTGTATGAACTTAGGGTTCAGTTTAGTCGAGTGAACCTCTCGTCAAATGTAAAGCGATTGTTGCTCAGTCACTTCTTTTCTCTTTTGTATTTACTTTGCATAACATTGGAGGTTCACTTTTTTTATTGAACCGCTTGCACGCATTAATTTATGAGTGATGATTATTTTACGTACATATTTTGCGGGGCTTGTTTTCTCTTTTATTTTTTTATTTGTTTGTATATTTTGTGTTTATTCAATATTGAACATAGTCCCAATGTGAATGTTATTTCTTTTGCTTGCTTTTTAAGCAGCGCGGTGCAGTTTTTATTCTGAACCTTAGTATATTTTAAGAGGAATGTGTTTTCTCTTTTATTAATTATAAGTAATGTTGGGTGTATCTAACATATGTATGTGTGATTTTGTTTGTATTGTACGTTTTATGTTTATGTTAATCTGTTTGGAAAAGCTATTATAAAAAATGTTAAGTAGCAAAACAGCGAGATTATTTATCTAATAAAAAAAAATATCTGAAAAGGAAGCTTTATTAAGGTTTTCAATGAACACTCTGAACCATTCGACGCCTCGCCTCTGACCCAGATATTCATTTAAATGATAAACCTGTAACTATCCTATTAATAAAAACTTCTTTATCGATGTCATTACCTAGCTATATAGGTTAGGTAGAAAGAAGGGCGAAAAATGCAAACGCAGGGTAATTGGGAATTAACGATACTAGTTAGTGATGTAGTCAAGTGCTTCACAGTTCTTTTGTGGGTTTTAATTAAAGTGTTAATCAATTGTCGTATTGACAACTAGCTTAGACTAGCAGATTTTTCAAAAATGTTTATAATCATTACTTCTTTTGATTTTACATATCACTTATTTTAAAATACATCGATTGAAAAGTACCCGTAAATGGAAAAGACGTGTGATTTAGATTTCGAACAGTTCTTTATCCAATATGTTTGAATCTTGTTATTAGGTATGAAATACAACATCATTCAAATATCCTCCACGACATACCTTTGCAATTTTCAGTGACTTTTCGGTACATAGTTATAATAGATCGACCATAAGCTCATGAGAGTTGGTCCATACCCACAAGAAACAGATTCCTTTGCATAACCACAATAAATAAATTCTATAGCAACAATTCGCTTGATCTTGACGACGAATTCATTTCACTAAAGTATAAAATTGTAGCTCAAGAAATTTTTGACATAAAAGCTTAAAAAGAAAATGTTGTATGACTTTCGGTTTGTGGCACCGTACTGTAGAAACCACTTATCTTCCATCACCATAGATTTAATTTGGGTTCAAAAACTAGTAATTATGTTGTTATAATGAACATTATTGACGGTTGCTGTTACGCCTTCTTCATGTTCATGGCGTCAATTTTTTACTCCTGCTTATAGCACTTACATGCAATAATATTCTATGCTTTTTATTACAATGTACTTCTAAGGGATCTTTATCTACTCAAGTACTGTAAATTTTCTCATAGTTGAATGTTTGTAGAACTTTGAATATTTCTTATAAATCATAATCTTAATCTTAAACAGTTCTCTTTAATACTTTTATCCCTTCACGTAGGTTATTAACAATTCCGTTACGTTTTCCTGTGTTGTATACATTGTATGTTTTTTTGGCTCAATAAACATTGAGAATATTGATGAACTTTTATTTCGGATTGGGTTAATTGTTCAGTCAAATACTTGCAACCTATTTACATATACATTCCTTTGGAACATGGAAATTAATTTATTGCTTTTGAACCTAATTAAAATATTTTTAAATTTTTATTTCAGACAAACAAAACCACTCACACAACCAATCATATTACAAAAACCAAAAATACAACCAAAGTACGATGTGCATCGCGATGTACTCACACATGAAGTGGTCATCAAACAAACTGGCTATGGAGCACGTGATAAAAGCATACCATACGGCTTGAAACAATGCTGGCAAGGTTGGTCATTTTTAGCCATCTTTACAGGTGTTTTACCAATACTACAATGGCTACCGAAATACTCGTTAAAACGCGATTTATTAGGCGATTTAATAGCTGGGTTCACTGTTGCCGTAATGCATATACCACACGGTATGGCATATGGTTTATTAGCCGGTGTATCACCTGGAAATGGTTTATACATGGCTATATTTCCCAGCATTGTGTATATGATATTAGGTACCTCTAAACACATATCAATGGGTACATTTTCTGTTATAAGCATGATGACATTAAAAGTGGTACAAACGTATGCAACGGAAGAAAATGATGGAGTAACCGGCGCTGATGTGATAACACCAATAGAAATTGCTACATCATTAGCATTTACAGTAGGCATAGTGCATGTAAGTTAAAAAATAATATTTCATGCATAGAAGTTTATTTTTAATAACAATTTTTTTCTTCAATAGATAGTAATGGCATTTTTCCGTTTGGGTACATTATCTTCCCTACTAAGTGATCCACTCGTCAATGGTTTTACTACCGCTGCTGCGTGCCATGTTGTAGCAAGTCAATTGAAAGATGTGATTGGCGTTGTGTTACCGCGTCACAAGGGCGCTTTCAAAATTGTTAAAATGGTTGTTGATTTCTTTATCGCTACACCACACACAAATTTAGTTACACTGGGATTTTGCATTAGTGTTATAGTTTTCATGAGCATATGTAATGAGTGCCTTAAACCTTGTTTGCGTAAACATTGCCGATTTCCGTTTCCCGCTGAATTGATCGCTGTTATTGGTGGTACACTTATTTCAAAGTTCTGTGATTTAAATGGTAATTACGATGTAAAGCTTGTCGGGCCAATACCTGTAGGATTACCGGAACCAACACTGCCACGTTGGGATCTCATACCGTTGGTTGCAACTGATTCGATAGCTATAGCGATAGTTAGTTACTCAATTATTATGTCAATGAGTCTTACTTTTGCAAAGAAACTTTCCTATGAAGTGCGACCGAATCAGGAATTATTTGCTTTGGGCATTAGTAACTTTGTTGGTGGCTGTTTTGCTTGCATACCAAATGCATGCTCCCTTTCTCGTTCTCTTATACAGGAACAAGCCGGGGGTGTTACACAATTGGCTTCATTAGTTTCGTCTGGCCTTATATTAATGACCATATTGTGGACAGGTCCATTTTTTGCAGTATTACCAAGGGTAAGTTCTCATTAATAATTTGTACAAATTTCTTTATATCTATATTTATATTTAAATATAAAACAAATTTATATCTAAATTTATCATTGACTTTGCAGTGCGTTCTAGCAGGTGTTGTTATTGTAGCTCTTAAGCCCATGTTTATGCAAGCGAAAGAGCTGAAGAAGTTTTTCAAACAAGGCAAACTTGAGGTGTTAACTTGGCTTTGTACATTTTTTGCTGTAGTACTTATCGATATTGATATTGGGTAAGTGTTTTCAAGTGCACTTAAGTGTCTTATTGGATCTAATTAGAATACTTTATTGATATTAAAAATTAGAACACAAGCACTTACTAGAGTTTATATAATTCTGCATGAACGTAATAATTTTTGTTATTATTTCTCTTTCAGTTTACTTATCGGTGTCAGCATATCTTTACTCACCCTTTACATTAAAGGTCTAAAACCATATTCAGGATTATTGGGTATCATTCCTGAAGCTCCAGCGATTTATGTTGATATGCGCCTGCATCGTAACGCTGTTGATGTACCAGATACTAAAATATTTCGTTATACTGGGTCGCTTAACTTCGCTACTAACATGTTTTTCCGTCGCTCGTTATATGATGCACTCGGTTTAGATACTCAAAAAATAAGACGTGCTTCTTACATGCCCGTAGCGCAAAATGGCGATGTTGTTAATGGCGGAGGAAAAATTAGTACATTAGGTACCTTCCACTTCTTAATTTTGGATTTTTCTATGTTAGGACATGTCGATGTAGCTGGTTGCCATACACTCAGCGATATTATGAAGGAATTAAGTTTACGAGATGTACGCTTATTTTTGGCAAGTCCCGTAGATCGGGTATATGATACAATAGTACATAGCATGGCATTAGGTGAAGGACCATTTGAAATATTTCCTACGCTACACGATGCTGTGGAATATGCAAATGCTTTCCGCACTGTGTGAATAAATGCGGTTAATTAAGACTAAGAAATTGTTTTATATCAAAATGGTACTAAGAAATTGTTTGTATAGGCTAGTATATTTGCAATTTTAGTTACAAATATAACTAATAAAGGTGCATATAATGCATGACGTATCGGAACTTAATTTAGCCAATAGATTATTTGTTTAATTAAATTTTTATGTTCTTGAGTTGTTAAACAGTACATAATTTAATAAATTTAAGTATATTATTTTTAAAGCACTTAAAAATATGAACAAAATATCTAAAAGTCATAATGCAAGAATATAATAGTTACAATATTGTGTTATTTATAATAATTCCAAAATAAAATATATATTGTTACAATATCTATGAAAATGTCTGTGAATAGTAAATAATCATATGTTAATTTCTTTAATTTGTTTATAAAAGTTTATTTACAGAATTTAATATTTATGTATATATATGTAAATGTTTACGTATATATCTATTTTAATTTTAAATAATTTTGTAGTTACTATTTGTTATACTTATAATATAAAGTAATATATAAGTGCCTACGTTTTTGGCCTTTTTTAGGCTCCTATTAGAGAATTTAAGAAGTACGTTTTTCTTAAATGAAGTAATTAAAAAATGTGCTAAAAAGAAATTATTAATTACTTAAACTTCTTAATAATATTAAAATTTAATATAACATAGTACTTAATATGCAAAACAAAATGCATGAACTTGTATATAAGACATAACTACATATAATAAATTTATATCATAATTATTTTTTTAAAATGCTTTACAATGTGTACATTAAAAACATGTAGAAATGTTAAATGAATTCTATATATTAAATCACTTCAGAATGAAAGTTGTGAAAAGTTTTATAATATAATATGAAAAACAAAACAAAAAATTGTTTTAATTGCAAATGAAATAAGCCTGTTTGTTTTTACAAGAAAAGCCTGTGCTATACAATGCATATATAAAGAGAAACTCTATAGATCACTTAGATTGTAGATAATACAATTTAGTACGTTATTAATTCAATAATATACGTACAGTAGGAAGAATATATCCATATTAACATAATTAAAGGTACAAAAAAAATAAAAATATTATCAATTAACTAGCTGCATTTCAACGTCTCAGTATGTGTCCTTACTACGTTATAAAATAAATTAAATAATTCAGTCTAGACGTTCTCAAGTGATGCGCTTACTAACAAACAGAATATCATTTTATTTTAATTAAATAAAGTGGTAATAATTGAGACTACTTTCAGTTGACAGAAGTTCAATTCTTAGTACTATGACGACCAAAATATACTTAACATTACTATTGTAAAGTATTATAAATCATTCTAAGAAAGGGGAAAAAACTAATATGAATAAATACTTGGTTATATTAACCTTAACGAGGGTTTTTGTATAAATACAAGAAAGTTCTACAGAGCATCGTCACTCGCATGAAACTCATCCGCTACGATAGGTGACCTCAAACTCATAGCTTATATTAAATTGCTGTGTCAATCAATCTAATTGAACAACTCTCTTAAATACGAAACGGTTCTTTGTGACTACTATTTACTACTACTACTATTTAATATTTAATACTACTATTTACCACAGGAGTTTAGCAGTTAGTAAATATGACACTATTTCGAGACCCTAATTAAACTGGGCTAAGAGAGCTAAGGATATAATTGCTTCAGAAGTTCGCTCTACTTCTAACTAAAGCTGGGTAACTGCAGAAGAAATTTGCTATTGTTCCTTTCTTTTCTTTATCTCTTAAATTTTTGCAATATTAATGGAAGGAGACTCCCAACCTTGGAGTGTGTTGTATTATAGACTGTAACCAGTAAAGTTGAAAAACTGAATGAAGTTTTTCACTTTTTCTAATCGTCTTAAGCTAGCCATCAAACAATTGACGTTTGACCATGACGTGTTTATCTTCTAAACAGTTCTTTAAAAATCTTTAAATAGTGGTGATATTCCATCTGTCTGCAACAAATTAAGTTTCATATCTTGTCTGTATTTTTAACTGGCACTGGAATTTCTCTCACTATCGTTAAGCTTCGACACCCATATTAGAAGTACCGTGAAAAGGGTGCTGTATCATTAAGGGCTGATGGATAATCGTGAGCAATTTTTTATGTTAATATCAATAGCTTGTAGTCCTCTAGATAACCGAGTATATTTCTTTCATTATTTTGACTACTTCAGTAAACAGTTACTTCTTTCATACCTAGTAGTTTTATTTGATAAATAATACATTGCTTAAGTTAGCTAGAATGATTTTTAAAAACTATCTATAACTAAATTTTTCAAATCTTTTTTATGGTATGAATAGTTTTCCATTAACTACTAGAAAGAATTTGGCAATTCAAAGTGACGATAAAATTCAGTTTTGGAAAAAAGTGATCACCTTCTCGTATAGATCTATTTCGGTCATTCAAAATAGTATAGCGGTCATACTTATAGATTTCTATTCTACATGACAGGTAGACATCAATTCAAATTTTTTTGTGAGTTAATTGTTACGGCTCTATGCTCTTCCTAGGAGTTAATGGATTAAATATATAATTGTTTGGAAAAAAATTTTAGAAAACGATAAAACTTAATTTAAGTGTAGATATACATAATATACATAATATACATAGTTTTCCTACCCTTTTAAACAGGACAAGTTCGCACGGATAGTAGTGTGAGCCTTTAGAAATCGTCAGTTTTGAGTTGGAACTTCAATCATATATCACAGACTACTACCATAAAGTTTAGACTAACACTATCACTTTAAGGTGTTATTATTGAATTAAGTTTGCTGGAGTTACATTTACCAAGGCTTTAAAGAATCTAACTTATTTAATCATAATTATAAATAATTCTAGAATTTGGGAAGAACATGACACATTAAACAATTACATTTAATAACACAGTTTAGTCAGCTTAAATTTGTGGTTTTCAAATTAAAATTTCTAATTATGCGGCTGATTTTAATAAAAATTGCCATGCAAATAATTGAACATATTTTGGTCTAAAGTATCTAAATAGAGTTTTTTGAAACAGACAAAATAGTTGACTCAAGTCAATTTACTTCGTCAGTGTCACACAACAATTTTCCTAATACAAAACTTTAGTAAACATCCGAGACCACAACAAAATTTGAACCTTAATTACCAGCAAAGCATTCCCACATTTGTGAAAAAATTTTTTAAATTATTTACTAAAAAATTAACAAATGCGATGTTAATTTTTTATTTTTGTATCTTGAATTAAATAAAATAATTGTTTTCAAATATGAAAAAGTCGCAAAATATTTTTGGATTTCGTTTTCTGTGGCAAAGCATGTGTGAACTCATCTGTTAAATTTTAGTGGGAAAAATGACAGCAATTTGATGTCTAATTGAATGCCAACAGGTACAATACGAGAGTATATATACGAGGGCTATTTCGTAAGTTAGAACCAAATAGAAATAGGAATAGAAATAAACAGAGTACCAGATCCCAACGGAGCGGAGCACTGCGACCATGGTTGATTTTTTTGTGCTGCAACAGACCCTAACCGAACAGAAGACGAAGGGGAGAGAAGTTCTCGACCAAGTGACCTTCTTCTGGCCCAGATTAAGGGTAGACAGTCACATAGAATGTGATAAGAAATCTCATCTACTTTTAAGCAGAGTCGACAATCTTTCTCTTTAGACAGATCCATTTTGTTAAGGTGATAATCCAGTCCATTATTTATTTAACCCGTTAAATATCCCACCAGCTGCCTCAACTCTGTTTTACTGAAGAAGTATACCTTACCATAACTGTAGGGATGAACCAGCTCTTTAGCCAGACGGTTACTTGGAATGTCGCGCCAGTAGCGACTTTTCTCGGCTGAAAACCAAGTCAAATACAAATACAAAAGTTAAAAATAAAAGTGACAATTAGTAATGAATCACCAAAACAAAGCAAGCTTTTGGGCATTGTCAAAAAACTTTCTATCATTGGTCTTTACAGATATATGAAAGATTTATTTGATCGGATCGCTGGTTCAAAAAGTTGGAGCGTGGCATTGTTTTCTCAACAACGAATTTTATCAAGGTCGTCCAAGATCGGCTATTGTACCAGAAAACAACTATGCAGTGCTAGAATTGAGGGAGATGGATCGGCATCTGACATAACTGAGAGTTAGAGGCATCCCTGCGTATTAGTGGGGCCAGCATACATTAAATATTGATTGTATGATAATAAGTTGAATTCCTCATCACCGATCAAAAGAAGACATATGTTGATTGCTGCAAGAAAATGTTACAAAAATACCGCCGAGGTAGCTCAAAACACGTATAGGACTTTGAGATAGATGACGAATTATGGATCTACGAGTATGAGCTAGACACAAAACAGTAGGTTTTGGTTTTCAAAGTTTGGTTTTCAAAGTTTGTTTTGGTTTTCAAAGTTTGCAGAAATGAACAAAAGTTATATGCGGATGGAGCAATTCCTAGCAAAAGATAGTATATTTCTTCAGAAAAAGAGTAATATTTAATATGCAACTGTAATACTTAAATAACATCGAATAGTCAATTATAAGTGGTATACAACCGTTTGTGTGCCGGAAGTCTTCAGAAAATTGAAGAAAACCAACCGTCGAGGAAAGATTATTCTCTACCACGGCAATGCGAACTTTCACGCATTAGCTCAAACAAAAGATTTCCTGAGCACTCAAAATATCGATTTGATGGGTCATCCGCCTTACAGTCCTGATTTGGTACCCAATAAATTCTTCTTGTTCCCAACATTCAAAATTCTGACTTTGGAGATATCATCTTTGGAGTGGCAAAATTGTTTCGAAAATTGGTTCAATCGAATGCAAAAGTGTATCAAAAAACAATAAAACCTTTAGACTGATTTACTACTGTGTTTTCATTGTTTGGCGCAAGACTTAAAAGGCAGTCCTCGTATCAACAAATCTTAAAAAGTCAAAAAGTCATATGTGAGTCTGCTGTTATCTGTTTAGGCAGTTCCAAAGCTGTCAGATCAAAAGTAATTTTCATATCTATGAAATATATTCTTCATTTAACTTTTTAAACAATTCCAGATTTCTAAAAAAAATATTTCAAAAATACGTTAAAATTGATTCAATGCAGTTACTATTGAATTATTAAACACCCCTCGTATGTAAGCTTATAAAAAGCCTATGGAGTGTGTTGCGAAGAAAAGTGTTTCGAAATTTTATTTTCAAAATTTAAATGCACTTGACCTTAGATTCTAATTTAAACAAAGGCGAATGACTGAAGTTTTTGTTTTGGTAAATTTAACATTAAATATTTAATATTTTTTCGAAATTAAGTGACAACAATTTACTAAAAATTGCTAAAAACTCACTTATATATTATTAACTTAAATATTTACAAAAACATATTTTGTAAGGTCGTCAAAGAAGAAAGGAGTAATTTACACCTACGACTTAAAATAAATATTTGTAAGCATAAATATTTTTACTTTTCAAAGTTCTTAGAGAAACCCAACCTATTGTTTCAATTATTTTCCATATTATTAGTTATTATTGTTTTAATAATAAACTATTTACATGTTTTATTTTAATTTTAACAATGTTTTTATATTTAAATTCTTATATTTCATTCATTTTATAATTCAACTTGAACATTTTACTATAGAGGGTGTTTCATCGTAACGTCTCTTAAAATTTGGTAACGATTCCTTGCCCTATTATAAAGGCAGGATATTCGATATTCTAAAAAGCAGAGACACAGTAAAACCCCGCTTAACGCGTAGGATACGTTCCAACAAAATAGAGCGTAATGCGAAACAGCGTTAAACGAGGCTATCTTAACGTGTAAATAATGGGGTTAGGGGTAGATTGAGAGAAAATTGCTTATGTATTAATTTTAATAATTATGTTTTTTTTTAATAATAAAAAAATCAAATACATATTTCTTACAAAAACAAAAACAATGTAAACGAATATATATAAAAATAAATATGTTGAAATTCTAAGTCAGTCAGAATATTCAGGCTATTCTGTGTTTCCAGTTTTCTACTTTTTTGGCAAGAAGGCATGTAATGTAGTTTTGCGTTCTGTTAGAAGTTGTTGATAAGTGGATAAAGTAACTATAACACCTCGTCCTGATTTTGAACTCTTGTCAAAATTTTGGATCATTTTGTACAAATTGGTTCATAAATTCAGTTGTAGTGGTCTTTACAAGCGCTTTCTTTTGTTCTTCTACAAAATCACTACTATCAATATTTTCCACATTTACCTCATTTAAACCGGCTTGTTTCGCTAATTCTACTACTTCATCCATATCAACAGATCGTCCAATGTCTTCGCTCTTACCTTAATCTGGCCAAATGTTCTTCCATAGTCGTTTAAAAGATCTTTCTGTTATCTCATTCATTTCATTCTAGCATTTATGACATTGTAGTTTTTCTCTTATTGATTGCTTCTCTTCTCCGTCTGTTTTTTAAACATTTGCTTAAATGTTCGGGTTGAAATAAGAGAGCGCTAAACGGAAACAGAGTTAAACGAAACCACGTTAAACGGGGTCTTACTGTAAAACGAGGACTAAAGTCACAAATAACATGTTTATCTAACATCAAGAACACATTGGTTCATAACAAGATACATTATTCAAAACAATATTATATTTAAACCGAAAAATAAGTTAATGCTACTTGAGCCAAATGAGAACAGAAATCCAATTGAGCCCGCCAAATACGAAGATATATTGCATAGGTACATACGGAACACATTCCCTTCCTTCTTTTGAACGAACATAACGAGTTTCTTTCAACGTCGATATTAATTAAGAGTGAATTTGATATAGTGAATTTGATGAATTTTTAATAAGAATAGTCATAATGCTTTCTTTGTCAAGAATGCCAAGATAGATATCTATAAAAACTAACTTCCTGACTTTTGATATTCCGACTGAACTTCTGAACATTGTAGAATAATAGAATAATTAGAATAATATAGAATAATTAACTTCAAATCAAAGAAGAGCATAGTCAGCATAGTGTACTTTTCGGAAAGCGTAATTTGTTTATTTTAATTTTTTTTTCGATGTACTGGGCTCTTTCGGTTAATGTCCAGCTCATATTGAAAACAATTTTTTTCACTACGAGGTATAATAACTGATATGTCAAATTGTGTGCCTTTTCAGCTTTTGATCAAAATTCGATAGGCAATGTTTTCTGGTCCCCCACTTTCCGCCTTCATGCCCCTTTTGGGGGCACCAAGGACCTGAGGACACCTGAATAAATTAACGACATATGAGTTTGAATTTTTTTTATTAAATTGGATACTAGTAAAATATAACAAACGGGTTATTATTAATCAAAATTGGTTATATGATGATAAATAGGTGATAACTATGAAAGTAAAAGTTGTCTAACTCTCTTTTTTGACAATAACAAATATACAAAGATGTGTTTAACTAACCCGATTGTAATGCAAATTAAAAGATCTATAACACATTTATAAAGTAGCATTTGAAGACCTGTACTAAATTTGGTGTTATGCTTCCATACATTACGAAGATAATTAAAATAAAAATGTCACATTTAATATTAACAGTTATGTTACCTATCATTTTCAATAAATGTTTATTCAAGTATTTATAGAAAAGTACATACTAGTATAAAGTGATTGTATAAAGCATGTTTCTGAAATTGGGAATATAATTTTTTTTGATAACGTTAAAATTCTTCAAACTTAATTGAAATGTTATTTAATATCGGTTTGGCTCCTTACTCTGGATTTATTATTTATTTGAGCAGTAAATCAAATATATTTAATATAGTTTTTGAAAAATTGAACTTGTTTTTAATGTACAATTCCAAAGAAGTTGACTTATTTTGTGATCATATTCATATATCTATAATGAAGTTTTGTTTTAGTTAGTTAGTCAACGTCTTCCAACATGGAAAAAATATAGGGCATGTATGTTAAATGTTTAAGCTATATTAGAAGAATAATATTCATCGTAGAAAAAAGTCAGATTTGTATTTTTAAGGCTTTCGTCTGTGGTGCGATCATTACAAATAAACTCGTCTTAACAACGATAGAGCCCAGAATTGTAAAAATTTGTGCGAAACACTACTGAGGTGTATAAAGAGTACTGTAAAATTACGACAGAAAGAAAAAGTGATACAGAATTGTTTATAGATTACAGAAATCCAAAAATAACACTACTAGTACTATGGTAATATCGACTTTATAAGGATCGAAAAGGTAAGAGATGACTGAACGCACCTGCTCAAGTAAAATACGAATGAATGGCCTGACGTAGGACGAAAAAGATATACTCAAAATGGCTGATTCTATTAAAAAAATTTACTGGCGTCAAATTGGAATTAGCTCTGGAATTACTCTGCATTTGCATAAGTATTGTGATATCAATTATTAAAATATTCAGTCCATAAAATCTCATACTCATGTTCTTGTTATCCATAAAATCTCATACATGATTTCTTTCTCAAACAATCCTATGACTCTAATGAATAGATTCTTCTTTTTTTACTCATCATCACTTCTTGCTGTTAGGCTGTTGATATTTTTAGCAGATGGTATTCTCTACCTCAGAGAGAAGGTCGATGAAGCGTTGTTAGTTTCAAATAAGGTAAAGAAAGAAGGTATGAAATCTTATCGCACTACTGCTCCTAAGACAATTAGTAGTTTACTTCCTCTGCATAGCTTTATTGCTTCGAGCTTAACTCTGTTAATGTCTTGAAAGCTTTCGTTAGCTGAAGCTTTCAAAGTTTCACCAGCTGTTAACTTGTTGAACGGACAAGAAAAAAACAAAGAAAAATGCAAAATATTGTCAAATTGTTTACAATAAAATAACAACAACAACAACCACAGGCCTGGCTTCGATGTTAATCCGCTAACCACAATCGAATTTAATTGAAAGTTTTACAATGTAAAGAAAAGGAGCTTTTGTGTTTACTTTCGCGCTTGTTTACGAAAGATGAACAAAGACTGCCTTTGTTGGCTTAACTTATAAAAAACCCCGAGTCAAAAGTGTTCCCAGCGTCAGTTTCCATAGAGCGTTTGTTGTGTGCGGTTAAAATCGAGCTTCCCGTAAAATTCATTGTTAACATTTTACTTTGAGCTCAGTTTGTTGCTGTTTTACGTTATTTGCTGAAATTTGGCTTAAACGAGTTTATTTATTTCTTCGTTTTGTTAGCTTTGTTTAGTCTTGTGCGAAATCTTTGAATGAAAAGTTACATGACGCGCGGGTAAGAAACCAAAATTATTGAAAGAAATAAAATAATAAAATAATTTCACGGAAACATAAAATGAATTTAAATCTTCGAAATCAACTATTTAAAGAATTTTTATTAAGTGATTTAGTGTTTGAAAAATATTAATTTGGGACTACATTAATAAATTTAAACTATGAACAAATAAAACAATTTAAATAAAAATTTTTTATGTTAAATAAGTAAAAAAATTACGCAATTTTGTAAGGCAAACATTTAAGTTAAAGGAAAATATTCAGTTAATATCAAAACATTGGTGCATTCGCTGCTTAGCCGCAATATAAAACATACAGTGGTGGCAAGAAAAATAGTAACGATATATGTGGTTATTTTATATAGATTTTATTATTGCATTAAAATCATTAAATCTACTGTTTGGTAGAGTGTATAATATTATAAACAATATAAATAAAAAATATTTAACCTGCATTAGATTTTATATTATGCAAACTTGAAAATATATTTAAGTAGTTTAGTATGGATAGTTTTAGTTTTCTAAAAAACTGATAAAAAAAGCAAAAAAAAATTAGATAGTAATTAATAATTTTCAATAACTAATTTAGAGTAATACAGATTTATTCAAATAAAAAATTAACTATTAAACATAATATTATTTGAATGTCTGTATTAAAAATCTAAAAGAGATAAAATCCCTATAAATAAAATTACTAAGAAAAAATGTTTTTTTTCTTACACTTTATTTTCGTACTTATTTAAAAATAATAAATTCCATCGATTTTTAACACATTTAGAGAGACTTAGACTTTTATTTATCGATTTGGCCCGCTTTTTTATGAAGTATTACTTCGATGACTCTATTACAAAAGCAACCGTCCTATAGACCTGTGTCGCACTATATACCCACGTTCATATGCTCACGCCCTATATTCCCACGCCATATATAGCCACGCCCTATATAGCCACGCCCTATATAGCCACGCCCTATATAGCCACGCCCTATATAGACACGCCCTATATAGCCACGCCGTATATACCCTCGGCCTATGTATCCACGCCCTATATAGCCATGCCCTATATACCCACGCCCCATATATCCGCGTTCTCTTGACTGCGCCCAGAATAAAATCAAAAAAACAGCAGCTGTGTGTTGTTATTAATAACGCAGAACATAATTATAAGATATAATATAATTATATATAAATTTTATGTTATGCATAAAGTCTTCTTTGTGTGTAGTCCTCTTCACATCCTGCTTACATTATTATTAGTGATTTCCATATTTTATGCGTGTCCTTTTAGTAAACTTCAGCTCGTCAATATTTGTACTTCTATTAGTTTTATTAACCTTACATGACAGCGCTGAATTAAATGGATTATTTTTTTTTAGATTTGAATTTCTCAGTTTGTCAGATAATTTAACTGCTTCACCTAGCTTTTATCCTTTCACTTCATCACCGGTTTTATTGTTTACATCATGAAAATAATTTTCTATATATTTTTCTTAATCAGAAGCCAGATGAACTAGGTTAATGGCAATTTTTGGTCCTTTTAAGTCAACACTGATATATATTAAGTATATCTCACATAAACATATCACTAAAGACAATAGTTATTATCTACCTTTCATATCATCGTCCATAGGTGTGTAATCGTTTATTCAGAATCAATTCTTTGATAAATCAACCCTTTGACTGTTCTCTTCTTAGAACAGTTTAAGGCGTACTGTAATATGAAGTAACCCAAGTAATTCTAACAGTTTTATATTTTCTTCCACAATATAGTAATATGAATAAATATTTATTTCGACTTTTTAGGTAAATTTTCATAGATATTTGTAGAAATGGATAACACTTTTTGTAGAAAATCAAATTCAAAATAAAGCATAATAAAAAATAATATGAAAAGGTAGCATATATTTTGTAAGTAAGTGCTTTATTCCAGTACTATATGTTATCAACTGTTCGAAAGGTATGAAAGGAAATTGTTTATTTAGAGATTTTTTGTCTAATATTATTATATAAATTCCTGGATCCTTTGGTGAAGTTCACAATGCGGTGATATTTCCATTTCTTCGCTACAAAAGCATAAATAGGTTTTAATATTGTGTAGCTGATTTCTTGTTCTTTAGTTTTATATTCATACCCGTTTCAATTTAATAACTTTAATAAAAATATTTCTGCACTTCGAATCTATGTAATGCAATCAAAATATTATTTCATAAAATTGTTATTTCTCTAAGAACTTATATATCCCAGTTACATTAATAGCGAAACTATGTACATCGATCGTTGTGAAAATTTTTTGAAACTCTGCACTTATATGAGAAGCATTATAATCATTCATTTAATACCAAATTAATGATTTCAAAAAATGGAATGAAGTATTGGTGAAATAGATTCCGTAGTTCTATGAGAGGTACATTATATATTCCCTCGATAAAATTATTTTGAAATGTTCTTGAAATAATATGAAAAAATATTGTCGTTTTAGTTATTTAATAAAAATATTTAAATTTAATTTAATTTTCTAAAGCACTGTTTTCTTTATCACTTTATTCTTGTAAAATTTGGTATGAAATAATAAGACCATCACAGAGTCATTAGAGTCATTAAAACCATAGGGATTTTAATACTTTCGTTCCTCTGTAAACTTAACACAGTTTGATGCATAGTATTACAATTTAGATAGTCTAATTTTGTTCGATCGGTGATATTCTCTGATAAAAATTGATGTGACCGCAGGCTATTACCTCTGAAGCAACTATAATAGATTATTTTTACTTGTTTATTTGTAAGTTAACATTAAAGTTAATTTTAAAGTTAACTAAGAATATGGAACTGGATTGCTTGGTCCCTCACCGAAGGATTATTGTTAATTTCTGTTTTGAAATGAAAATAACGTACTTTAATTGTACAGAATTGATATTTCCATATCACAATAGATCAATCTGGTCGCAGTGCAAAAAGGTCTTAGCCTAACCCATAACCCATTACGTTACATCACTTCCATTAATAGCAGTAGATAGTTTGATTCAGATGTCAATTACAAGAAATGGAATATTTTTTAATATTAGACAGATAATGGATAGATGGAATATTCTTCTGCAAATAATATTTTTAAGAGGATATGAAATTGATATAATAGAAAGGAAAAAAATTTCAAATTAATTGATATATAAACTGTTTACTTAATCTGAAGAGACATTTAATAAAAATTTCAGTGATATTTAATTGGCTGCAAATTGAAGTTAGTAAATTGATAAATTTTTTTGAGATATTATAACTTTTAACTAACTATATATTTCTATTGACTATTTATTTAATTTGACACTATCTATTTAATTTTACTTCTATCTTTTATAACACTATCCAAAATTTAACACTATTCAATTTAAATTTATATATATCAATAATTTATTGTTAAATTAAATTGTTAATTTATTGTTAAATACTATTTTCAAAAATTATTTTATAAAGAGATTTTTTCGAACAGTAGTGAACTATAACAACAAATATTTATTTTTATATTATTTTTATTAATTGAATTATTGGCTGATCATACAGCATTTCGAGTATTGCCAAATACCCATCATCAGTGGTTTTGGAAATAATTCTTATATTTAATTATTTGTAAAGAATTATTTTTGAGACTGCAAGTACCAGGAATCGAACTCGTGTGCTGTCAGCATGTTTCTGATGTTAAAATCAGAAACACCATATATCTAGAAAACTAATAAATTCAAGATTAAAGACATTTAAATAAAAAAGTCAAACTCATAAGATTTTAAATACATTACAAAAATGATCAGAAGTGCTATTATTGTATTGTATATTTCAACTTGGATAGTGTCAAAAATCAAGTCAACATATTTCAAGTCACAGAAAACTTCTTCATTAGTGAAAAAAAATACATATAATAGTCGGCGAGCTTGGAAATGTCGAAAAAATGAATAAATTAGATTTGATATGTAATTCAGTGGTCTATTTTATTTACTTTATTCTTATAAAAGTGTGAGTATACAAGTCAAGTTTGGCTTTCGGGCAGTTGGCAAATGAACACTGACTCTGAGATTCAAATTTGGCAGGGCACGAATTTAAACCTTGATACTTGCAGTTTTAAAAAAATTATTTACCAATAATTAAATATAAGAAATAATTCCAATACTATGTTACTAGTGATGGGTATTTGGCAATTTTCAAAACAGTCGTATGGTCACCCAAAAATTCAATTAAATGAAAATAATTAAAAACTATTGTTGTTGCAATTTACTACTGTTTGCAACCTCTCTACTAACAAATAAAATAGTCACTTGCATCATAACTGATCCTAACTTATAACTTATTGTAAATGTTTGTGAAAAATAAGACTTAATAATAGTGCCTTGTGGTGCTTATATCTTTCTTCCCTCTTTAACTTTGATATATGTTGCTAAAATTCGGATAGTCTAATATTGTTAGTTAAGTCGTTAACAATCTCAGATAAAAATTAAATATAAGTTAATTAAGTAATTTATATTAGAAACTATGTATTGAAGCATATGATCAGTTCCTGCAGAAACCACTAATCGATACTTATACCATATTAAGCTCTGTCTATCTCTCTCTCGCTTTGTCTCTTCGCTAATGCAGTAGCATAGCACCGGAAAGTTAAAAACAAGTTTTTGTTGTTATTTATTTTTATTAACAGTAAACACGAACCAAGCCTCCTTGTCAAAATCATAAAAATATAAATAATAATAAAAAGAAATAATAGTATTAAAACTACATTAAATAAACTTAATTTTGAATTCAAGTATAAAACACAAAAATCAAAAAAAAATAAATAAACAAATAAAAATAATAATAAATGTATTGCAAAATATTTATTATTTGTAAAATAAACAAGGAAAACAGCAAATTCAATGCACACAAAATGCAGTTTTAAGTGCAAATATTTTTTTTAAACATTTTTCCATTAATTTAATTTTTTTATAATTTTTTTATTTAAGCCAATAAATATAAAAGCTTGGGAAGTTG